CACTTTTAACTATTTTTAATTAAAAAATACGCTTAAAAACTGCTCGTCTCCTTTGGCAAATTTGCTAGGAACTGTCGTGTTAGAGGTTAATCAACGCAAAAGAAAAAAAATGGTGGCTAGAGTAAGGCTTGGAGAGATCCTAGTTGGTGAGAAGTTTACAAACTATTGCTGTTTTAAATGATGATGCAAATCTCGATCGATATTGGAAACAGATCTGGCGATAACATCATTTACGAAGGTTAATCCCTTCTAAGTAATAAAGTTAGCGATTTGCAATTCATAAACTGTGCAAAGCCGCTATACTCCACTACCGTTTATTACGATTGCGATATAATTAAGGAATAAATCCAGATAAAATCATTATTAATACTATTTCCATTTGATTTTAGATAATTTTAAATTGCAGTTTCATTATAACTTGGGTTCTCTCTTGAGCCTCTTAAGGATTGCGAGAGGCTGAAGAGCATCAATTTACTCGTCTTCAGCTACTCAAAATGTGAGATCTTTTACATCTCGAAATGCGTTAAGTCTTAAGAGCTGAAGTGCTTTCTACCCTTTTGAAAGGATCATTGGAGTATGTTTAAAGCTCCGAAGACTCAACAATATGTATTTACAAGATTAAAGATATACTCTAGAGTTTGAGCGACTGCATAATTTAAGATCAAATTTTCACGAGTTTTTACAGCTTTCTAAATCCAAAAAAAGTAAGCTTTTAGCATCGTTTAAGATTGAATTTCAAACTCTAATATGCCTCAAAATTAAATTATTGGTTTTTATTTGTTAAATTTTTTTTACATTTGTAGTAAACAATTTAAATCAAATCCTCGTATATTATAACTCAAATTACATATTTTAAAACGTTGAAAATGTAATCTAAAGGTCAAAATTGTAGTTTTACATTTTTTAAACATGAAGTTTTCTACAAGAAAATTCTGTTACAAGTTATGTTTTACATAAAATTAATAGAATGCTCCTTTTACAAAATGTAAACTATTAAATTTCGATTTTAAAAGTCTCATCCTTTCGCTTCTTTACTCCAATAATTTGCATTTTAGCATCGTTTAGAGTAGAAAAGATTCTGAAGCCATCTTTTAAAGATATCGTAAGAAATTTTGTATTGAAAATATTCTATATTTCTGTATCCTTTAAGGCTCAAAAACACTTTTAATACAATTTAAAATCTCGATACACTTTCATTCGTATCCGTTCTGTTTCCTGGAGGAGATTGACGACCATCTCCTGTAACCAACGATAATATGAAAGGACAAAAGTCTAAATGCAAACAAACTAATAGGTTCGTATCAGATTTATATCGTGCTTGATAAATCGAGTAAATCGATTGTATTCTAGTAAGAATTTTTTTCTTTAATGACTCCATCTGTTAGCGATTTGGAAGAAGCAAAGAAAGAAAAAAGGCAGTCGAGATGCCACTAAACCGATGTGTACATAGCGGATATATTTCCTGCAAATGCCCGGGTACGAGCGGTTAACACTATTTAAGTGAGAGCTCGTGTTTATATAGGTGTAGGTGTTGGAAGCAGTGCATCATCAATCACTGGCGATTACAAAAGGCAGAGGTTAACTGGCAGAGAAGTTTGTTGTTGTCAAGGCAACGGAATCTACAGTAGCTAACTTCATTATCTCCTTGCTGTTGTGGCTAGATTAACTGGCTATGCTGAGCAATATGGAGCGAAGCGGCGCTGTCGGGGATCGGGATGACAATGGCATGAATATACCTCAAGTAAGCTGCCGGTTTGTCTGTCTGACGGAGTAGAAAGGTGTCGAGCATGTTAACAATGGAGAAAGACCGCAGCATCATTATTACAATCTAGATTATTTTTATGCTTTACTGTAGAGATTGTTTCCGCACCGTCTTCTTAATACTCACTTTATGATAGTTTGTAATCTCGGTTTCTTCGCTCCCATCGATACGATTTAATTTGTTTAAATCGACCGATTTAAAAATTATATATATATANTTATTTATCCCTTTAAATAAGATTCTGTGTTCGTTGAAAGTCGATAATTACTATTTTTCGAACTGTATAATAATAATAAATATAAAACACATAATATGTAACTTAAGCGATTTAATTTATAAAATCATTAATAAATAATAAGAAATCCTCTTTTAATCTTTAATAATATAAGGTTAAACGAACCGTAGAATCTTTTTTTTTCTCCCTACCTTTATAATTTAATCAGAAAGAATGGAAAAATGATCAAAATGGAAGATGTGATCCATTATTGTCGAGTAGAATAGCATGTCAATCATCCATCAATCAAGATTATTTCGGATAAAAGATAATATCAAAAAGAATTATATCTCTTGGAATATAAAGAAGACACGACATGGTATAAAATACACTTTTAAAAATGATGCAGGCTACAAATTAACTAACTCAAAAAAATTTATTTCTTTTCATTTTTTCCCTGTAAGTTACATTTAAAAAAATACACAAGAAATGGAAGAAAAATATACAAATAATCATGTAGAAACTGCAAAATATTCTTGGCAATAAACAAGGAAAATTCTCAACTCGCGTCGCTAGTTTAAAAAGAAAAAAAAGAAAGAGAAAAAATCAGGAAGAGAGAAAGACAACCGATTATATCCATTCTGATTTATAAGAAAGTGCTTTAAGTGTCATAAGATGCTTACTTAAGTAGAGGCGACCGAATGGCAGATTGCCAACATCACCATACGATGCCGGAATCTAAAAAACAGAAATTGTTTTTGCTCTGTGACCATCCATAAGGTAGACATATCGTAGATAAGAATGAAAATTATATTTCTGAAAATTTGTTGAGGATACGCCTGCCAAAAATGGTATCGTACTAGTAAAGAATTAAAGCGACTTAAAGCGCTTTATTACAATCGATAAGGATATATTTAATCCATGAAAATTATTATTATTAGTCTTCGATCATGCATATTCTTTCTTCTATTCAAAAATCATTAATGTACTTACCGATAAATAAACCAAATTAAAAACATAAACTACATTAAATTTTAAATTAATTTTTAAAAATAATTATAAAAACACTTACCTTTTTCTTCTTATCTAGAATCTAAATCGATTTTTAAAACTTAAATTTTTATTTATTTATTTCTATTTTTTCTTTTCTTTTTTCTTTTTTTAAATAAAATTTCTTCGAAAATTTTATTTTCTATTTTAAAAAAATGCTATTTTCATTCCTCATCAATAAAGATTAAAATTTTCTCTTTAAATTATACTTTTAATTCGAAAAAATGGAATTTTTATTGGCTAAAAATAGTATAAATGTACCAGAAATCGATGCGAATTTAATTACTCTTATTATTATTATTATTATTATTATTTAAAGAGTATATTTTTTTCAGTGATAATGTAAGTTATTTATTTATTATACTGTATGATACAGTAAAGCAAAACACTACTTCACGTGTAGAATTTATATAGAAAAATATAAGAAATAATAGTTACAATACAAAAAATATCTTTATTAATTATAGAACTATATTTATATTCTTGGCATTTGATTAATGTATAAAATATACATGTCATTTTATAAATATACTTTATAATATTTCAATAAAGGCATTGCTGGTGAATTAAAACTAAATGTAAAGCCAGGAAAAAAAAAACAATTTTCAATTCATGTTTTCTATTGTTATTAATCCGTAAAAGATATATTAACGAAGAACAATTCAAAATTAAAAAAAAAAAAACAATTGTTCTTTCTTGTGTTATAGATCTTAACATAATACCGCGACTTTCAAAAATTCGAGCAAGAATCAATTATATTTCTTTAGTCGCTCTTCTAGACCATAGAAATTTTTCCTGATTTTGAAATCTTCCTGAAAAATTCCCCAAAATTATTAAGAATTTTCCTTATTTTTTTCTCGGTAATAACAGTTATTTTGAAAACGCGATCAAAAAATACGTATTAAAAAAATGTTTAATTAATGGGTTTTTGATTTTAGTTTTTTATTGTGAAAAATAGTTTTTTTCTTTTTTCTCAGTTGTAGAAAGTTTCTTTATTAAATATTATTGTTTAAAACAAAATAGATTTTAAATTTCTCTAAATATTCATGTTAATTTCTTATTTAAAATAAATTTTGAAAAATTTTTATTTATAAAAACTTCTTATATTTATGATAAATTTTTATTAATAATTATCATTTTTAAAGCGTATTTATTGTATACAATAAATTTAATTAGTCGTTTCTTAAACTTTTTCCCTTAAAAATAGCACTGAAGCATTTAAAAAAAATTTTATTTTAATTATATTTTTCCATTAATTATCAATACTTTAAAGATATAAACAACATATTTATATAAAAAGCTTACACTTTAATAATTATATGTAATATTTAATAATTTTTCTTAATTATATTTTAAAAATTTGTAGTTTTCTTTCTATGTTTATAAGAAATCTGCATTGAAATCTTTTGTTTAAATAATTCTCTGCTTTGGAGAAAACTCCCAATCTGGAAGCTCTATCTCTACCGCTCTAGTAAAAATACTGTAGTTAAAATTAAATATATAGAACAGTCAGTCTAGTTTATAAATTTTTCAAAAGAAACTTTATTAATTCTGCAAAGAATAGAAGTTCAAAAAAAAAAGATAAAAAAAAAATGGCGCGGATCGAAATCCTGAAACCTGAGAACTAAGTTAAAATTTCTTGAGGTTCTTGCCGAAGGTTATTTGCTCACTTAAACTGTGTGATTACAGGTATGGAAGCGTTGTACAGTTACCAAAGACGAAATTAAATAAAGTCCCATCACATAGCGTGTGATTAATTGACGAAGGACCCGAGTAATACTGGGAGTAGTAATTAATGTTTCTTGTGCTGATTTATTGTAATGAGTGGTTGTCGGTGAGAAAAGAGGACATCAGATAAGAAGCAACACTTCTTAGGTAGGAGTGGTCGAAAGGTGTGAGGTCCTTAGCTTAACTACGATCTCCCAGGAAAGAAAAAAAGAGAAAAAAAAAAGTCTGTAAATTGTAAAACCTTACCTGCAGATTTCGGTGAAAACTTGTCCCTCTGTGCTGCACAGACTGCCAATAAACGATAACCCAGATCCAAATCATACCCCTGCTGCACAGCAACCTGGCTGACCACCTGAAAATATTTTAATGATTTTTTAAACGCGTATAATGTACTTTCTGTGGTATTATAGCTCACGAGACCCGTAAAACGAAATATATAAAAAAATATTATATCAGTATATATAAGCGCAAGCGAACACGTTTCGGTTCTACTTCCATCTTACTATAGACGTGTCTAGCTTTTTTTCCCTTCCTAAAACATTCATGAAATTGAGATAGGGAATAATAAAATCATACACTTTCCCTCTGCCGTGTGGGTTATAACAGTTGATGCAAGTTGAGGTAGCTCAGGATTGGTTGTCGTGACGTCATCGACATGTCACGGACTCAACATAAGAGTTTAGTGCATTTGATGTAGTACAAGTGTAAAACTACAGTTTTTAATCTCTAAGAGTTAAAGTTAGTTATAACCACTATAAAACGATGCAATTTAAGTAAAACTGAATTTATATTTCTTCATAATTTGTGTTGTAAAAGTTAGCTGGAGTTTATACTTCCTCTAAATGATACATCCCTAGAAGCTTATGATATACACGCCGTGGATGATAAATAGGCTTCCATTATAAGCTACTTCTATTAGAGAATTAATAAGAATCGTAGTATTAAATCGTATCTGATAACGATACGTTCGTGCAACTACAGAAATTCTTGTATGCAACGTTGTTAACTTGCGTGCGATCTCCCTCGACATGCTCCTAAATGTATTATTGTTATTGCTACCCTACAATTTCCCGAAATAGGTATAAGCAACGTGTGACATTGTTAATTGCTATTTTAATGAACCCTTCTATGCATTGATTTAATGTTACTGTGATATGCCACTAATCACGATGGCGTTAACTACAATATCATTGTCGTCGTCCAAATAGCTGGCAGGTATAATTCTAATTGCATTATTTTAAGTTTACCCTACATACTGTAACTGATACGATCTATTGTATAAGCATATCCTTATTAATTTTATGTCGCTAATTAATATTAGTTATGCCAATCAAATTCTCAAGCATGCTTCTGTGATATTACAGATGCTATTCTAATATTATTACTATCAGCCGACTAGTTCTCCTTAATATATAATATTGTTATCATTACCCAACCTAGTTCTTAATAATTATATTGTTATTATAACCCTATTGGTTCCTGTAATGATTACTAAGTATCTGCTCTATTAATTTCCCATTTTTCTATTAAAATCTATTTATTTTAGTAATATTAGTCAACTTGAAGTTGAGAATAAGTAGAAAACAACAATAAAATCGCATAGTATGTAGACGAAAATAAAAGTAATATGAGGCTATTGTCATATAACAAGTTCTCATATATAAGCCCACTGCTAACTTTGTTATTGCTACCCTACTGTACCTCAGAATGCAGTAATTGCTACCTGCCTCTACCTGCTAACCCCCTCCAATGTACAGTACCAAATGTTGCATTTCGCCACAATCCAATATCTAATGACGACTGCCCGTTACAGTTTAATACAGGATATATGCTACTATTTGTATATAATCTATTATGCCCAGTTATCTAATTATAATTAAATATAATTACTATCAATAGTTTTTAATGTCCTTAGACATAAATAATATGCCCTTATATTCTATTTTGTTGGGAATGTTTTAATTTAGGGTCTAATAGTAGAAAGGTTAAGAGAAATTTTCTTTTTTTTATAGTCTAAGCTGCTAACTGCAATATTATATAGTTCGATAGTAGAAAATAGTAGATATATATTCTGCTAAACTTTAATATCGTTCGTGACACTATCACAAACAGTATTACAGTTAGCTGCTATATATACAGTTCGACTTAGAAATTGGAAAACTTTTGTCTATATCCATTTATTGGCTCAATGTTGGAGTTGAGAATCTAAAGTTAGGGAAAAAAACTCTTAAATGATAACTTTTTTTTCCACTGGTTTAATACGTAGCCTATAGAATTTGTAAACTGTAACCGCAAAAAATGCGAGTAAAAGACGATACAACGATTGATGCGCTTAATAAATCCGATTAAAAAGAAGTTAGCGTATACAAAAATCAGATGGAGTTTATCGGAACTGTTGAGTTATCGATAATAACTTCACTTCAAAGATTCCAATCTGTTCCGCTCGAATCGATGACAGGTCGTGATTCCAGATTCGGCCGACAGAGTGCGTGATGATAGATACCCACCTTACGTAAGGCGATCGATACAAAAGGTTATATTTAACCTTAGCCAGGAGAAATCTCTAGAGATTTTGCAATACAGAATAGTACAAAGTCATTAGTTATTGCGCAGTATCGAAATGCATCGTAGCAGTTAACAGGTTCTACACTTCTGCCTTTTCCGCTAATAGTTTTTGTATCTCGTAATAACGCCAGGAATTTGAGTCTGGCTGCGGATAAAAACGTGAGGTGAAGCATCTGCTGTACTTTCACTACATCTTCTCCGTGTTAATCTTACTTTCTTAATTTTCTTATACAGAAAATCTTCGGTATTACAAGAAGGTATACGTTCCCTCTTTTGTTTTACTGTATCAAAAGTCATCTTTAACCATGACTGGTTTCAAATATGCCGCCGCAATGCCAAGCATCTCGTTAAAGAGTCGATGATAATTTTCTCGATTAATGTCGGAATGTAATAAAGAAAATTCAATCGTAAGTTTTATATATGTTAGAATTGATACGGGGCCTCCATTTTTTGAAGTAGTATCGAAGAGGCGATATCTAAGGCAACTCACCCAGTCTAATTATGTCACAGGTGACTACCTCCAACATCCTGTCGGGAGAGTTGCGTGCCTCGGATCGCAGCCTTAGGCCTGAGATGACCCTGGCTGAACCTTGGCAAGGGAGACAGGTTAACTCGAGTCTGGTTGGTCGGACCAGCGGAAGTTTTTTTTTTTTCTTCTTCTTGTTCTTAAGAGCGGTCACCCCCACACAAACCTCTCTGCCTTGCAATGGAATAAGGGGGGAATTCAAGGTCGTTTTGTTGTATGTAGTCTCAAATTGTCGCTTGTTCAAAGATTTTTCCTTTTTATTGTGATCATTTTAATAATTTATTACATAAACCTTGACCTCGGTAGGTTAATTTCGGAAGCTACAAATAAGTTAACATATAAAAGTAGACATTTATATTTTTATGCTTTCAAAAAATATTCGAGAATTGCCAAAAAAAATAGTTTGGTTTCTTCTCGATAGGTGGCGGAGCATCTCCTCCGTCTTATCCTTTATTGAATTTTGCTTATATTACGCTTTTATAAATAAAATAAAACAAAAATATAAAAAGAGAAAATCGATGTTGTAGTAGCAGAAATTGTTAACTGTCTTATGTTAACAGATAAGAAAGGAAGAAACGCGAAGGTATTCGAATAGACAAGCAAAGATCCACCGAATCGATGTTGGATCAATGTCTTTTCGCAGCGGGTCAACGTTATTGTTCTTTTTTTTCCCCCTTTCTTCTTTCCTCTTCCTCTATTCCGAATAAACAAACAAAGTTTTCGATACAAAAGCAATACCAGAACTTTCTTCTATTTAATTTTTATAAACTTACCGTCAAACAACCGATAAGATTTTGTTCGAAGACCTTCTGGAATGCTCTGCTATCACTACACCATTCGAGAAGTTCTCTCGCTGCATTTTGGAATCCGGTCGGTGTACTCAAAGCCTGCAAAGATAATATACATTATTTTTAACATTAAAAACAAATCTGCTAAATCTGTAATATATATAAAAAAGAAATGAATAAATAAGAAGGAAATCTTTGAGGAGAGAAAGAGTCCATTCCGAAGAGCAGTTTGTTCTTAGCTCTTAAAATATACATGAAAAATCCTCCGAAAGTTTCAATTGGATGCCACTTGGCATTTTGGCCTTTTTAAATATTTACCCACAACATTACGCATGATCAAAAAATATTTGTTTCTTTCTAACTTGATTTTTATAAATTATACAAAGAAACAACACCAGTTTTCCTATTTATATTTATTTAGTCCTTTTTTTTATCTTCCTTTCTCATTTTCTTCTTTTTTTTCTTTAATTTAAGAAAAAATACTAGTTCCTAAATTAAGATTTCTATCGGCTGATAAAATAAATCTTCACTTTTTTCCTTCTTAATATTTATTTAATTAAATTGCTATATTTTCTTCAACTTAAGAAGAAGATAATTAACCAGTCTCTAACGAAATTAACAATAAATAATCTTAGTATGTTTATCAGTAATTATCCGATATCAAGAGATATCAGACTAGTACCATCTCGAGTTTATAGAAAAAATGGGAGAAAGACTGGTGACATCTCGACGACAAGCGGTCTCTAAGGCGGAAAATGAGAAAAGTAAACGTAATCGATGCAGATGTTGGACACAGATGGCTCTGATTGCAACACAGACAGATAAATCAATGTAATTCGTACCATGTCTGATGATTCCATCGTATCATGCTCAGAATTGGATTCACTTATCACCTCTGATTAGTATCATTTGATGCTATTTGTTTAAAAATTATTAAGTATGCTGAGACACTCGGATCAGTCTCGCTGCCAATAACCATGCTCCGCGGCAATGTCGAAGCGATGTTTCAAATCGCTATAATATATCGATAAAGTGTCTTACACGGTTTGGAATCTTGTTAAAATTGATATTATTTAATTATTATATTCTCCCCTATTTAATTTCGGATGTATCGAGATCATCTCCTATTTAATCACAACATTTCTATTTAGCCGGACGTCAACAAGTAGGAGACAGACACTTAAGGGATTTCCTTACATTGATGTCAGATGGAAACGAAGTTCCTTTGAGACCCAGATCTGCTCTTTGTGCTTCACTGCCATCTACTTCTATCTGTCATTATATTGAATAGAATCCGAAAATACTTTCCTTCCATTTAATATATTGTCATAACTTCGATTCCGTTTTAATAACATAGAAAAAAGATGGTTGGAGAAATAAAATTCATATCTTTGGATTTATCACGCCTTTTGTAACATCCCTGACAATCTAGATGATTAAACGAGTTTTTGAACTTCTTTAATTTTACATTCGAGTTTATTTTATTTTATTATATTTCCCACTAAAACGACAAATGCGATAAGAAAAGAGAGAAATGTTGCGACATTTCGTCACTTGCTCCAATAGAGTCAGTAAAGGCAAAGAGCAGCAACAGATCAGCCACGAGTTTTCGCACACACACACACATATACACATACGACTCATCCCGAAAGATCGATAGAAGCCAGGAGAGGATGAGTGCGAGGGGAAGGAAGCGCTGATGACCTGGCGCTAGTTCTGGATCCGAAAGAGGCTGCATCAGTTCCTCTGGACAGCAGCTCTCAGAGAGTGCGTCTCTCCATCTTAATAACCATTTGTCTCCTATCCCGTTGCTAGGATACGGATTTTTTTCTCAACATTTCCTCCTACTCTTCCCACTCATCTCTCTTTCTTGGGCGAGTGGCTGTAAATCATGATGGGACAACTGGCGAGGTTAATACACAAAAGTTGAATACGTTAAAAGAGATAAATCTAGTAGCGGTATAGTGAAAAATTTCAGTTTTGTTTTAAACACTTTTACGAGTGCGGCATGGTTAATAGGGATAAAATAATAAATTTAAGTAGTACGGTCAGTCACGTGTGATAATGAATTTTGAAAAGGGCTTATACATTAAGGATAATATAGGAGAATAATGTGATGATGTTATAAATTAGTTTGTCCATAAAATAGGGAAATTTATCGCGCGGAGGTCAACTATATCAATGTGGGAAGAGAAGGTAATAAAAGTGGATTTATTCTTGCTAAAGTGAATGAGAATGAATACTTAACTGTAAAATAACAATAAAAAAATTACGTATTAAAAATTCGTCTAAAGTCTTGTTTATCTAATTTTGATTTTGGAAAATGTTCCGATTTAAAACATTTCGAAAATAGAATTTATGTCGAAATAAATGAGTTTTGTAATTCGAAATTTAGCGCAATTATTTCTCCATATTTTCATTTTAAATAGAAAATGTATGACTTAATAAAAAAAATATTTTTATCTTTTATAATTTCAGGCAGAAAAACTTCTGCGTATATTTTTTTTTCCTTTTCTTTAAAATGATGAATTGTAAATTATTCCGGTTTTACTTGAATACCACAATTATTATATATCCGTACTGTGTGTGTGCACCTGTTTAAATAATGCGGCTTTTCATTTCTAATCCGTTTAATAAAATGTCACAATTTTTTTTTTAAAAAAGTATGTTTGGATTTTCTAGCACAAGATGGCGTTTGTTTAAAAATAAGTTTTTTTTTACCTTTTCTAAAAAATTCTGACATAAAAATTATATAAAGTAAGCGGTAGTTTATATTTAATTTCTATAGATTTGTCACTAGTGTCACCGAAAGAAGGACACGTAAGACTCCTCGTCACACCCCCTAATAACAAACCACACGTCCCCATTATGCCACTCCCCTTTCACTTACCTCTTTAATACATTGCAATCTTTCGTTTGTCTGCTGGACGTGTCTTTCCATAGCAGTTGCCATGCCTGTCATTTTTTCCATTAGTTCTTACTCCTTCTATAAATCATGATTTCTAAAATAAAAAATTAAAAAAATATAATCACGAATTTAAAATACATCATAATTATTTAAATAATAATAATAAAAATTAAAATAATAAATTCAACTTAGTAAAGAGACGAGAATATATAGTGTCGCCATCTGTCGGGAAAGTTTTAGTAATTGAAAGAAAAACAAGGTAAGTTAAATTGATATTTTAAGTTAATATTAGGAAGTGATGTTTGCTCATTTCGTTCGCTATCTTGATTACATTTATATCTGAAAATAAATAACGGTAATGCTCACCAGCAATCTATAATAATAGTGGTTAGAATATCTGCAAAACCGTAATCATCTAAAAGAGAAGTAGAGCATGACCGCTCAACTAAACACATTACTTTTATAAGTAATGGACTAGCGCGGAAACCATTTTCAAATTTATATTTTTCGAATACTTAAACGATCCTAGTTTCGTTTGCATAAATATTATCTATCGAAATGATTTAGTTTCTCGAATTTTTATATGTTTACACCGCCGATAATTATACCGTTCCACAGCATCCTCCATCAATTAAACATTCACAAATTCTTCGAAGATAACTTCGTTTGTTACTACGTTACGAGTTTAATTATAAATGAAATCTGTAAAATAATTAATTCGTCATTTACGCTACTTAATTTCTAATGTGGATTTTTAAGCGTGTAAAATTTAAGTTTTAGGTGGTTTTTTTTTAAATGTGTCACGTTATTTAAAAAGATACGGTTATGGTAATGGATATGTGGAAGCTCGATAATAGGAAGAAAAGTAGATTAAATTATTAAATTTTATAAAAATATTACGGGTTGGAATAAAAAGAATGGGGGGAAAAACATCCTGCTCATTCATTACAGGATGATAAATTGCCTAACACGAGTGACAACTAGCAAATATTAAATTACAAGATAAAAAGAAACTTAAGGTAACGTAACAACGTATTATAAATATCAGTTTTTTTTTTTTTTTGTTTTTTTTTTAAGTTAGGAAATATTAAACATTTCGAAAAGCGGTTTATAACTAACCACTTAGAAGAATAATGGAGACAGTAGTTTTAAAGAAGAAAATTTCTTCATGCCAGACGTCTATTTTGACAAACCGTGTAGTAGAAGTGACAGAAGATCAAGTTGTAAATAGCACGACATAGATTTGTGACACAAGCACATTGGGACCACGACAACATTGACGGCGGAGACCGAAAGACGAGAAGTCGAACGTCATCCCTTTTAAAAGAAGAAGGGGAAAGAAAAAAAGGTGGAGTGAAAATGATTTAGTAGTAAAGTCATCAACCGATGCGAGAAAACATTCCATACAAGCCGAATTTCACAACAAATTCGATCCTTTATCCGCACGCATGCTTAAAATAAAGAAACAAGGAGAGGAAAAGAAAAAAAAAAAAGAGTAAAGCTGTACCACATCCAGACACGTGACACCCGATTATCAAAATTTATTTTTCTAGGAATATAAAAATCGTGTTAACCTTATACAGTTTCCTAGAAATGCTCGGCTGATAAGAAAATTCATTTTTTGTAATATGCCAATAAATATATTCCCGTGTACTTAAAACACTCTCTACTTATTACTTTTTTTTTTCCTTTTTTGCAGCAGTAGAACCCCAAATTTTTATATGGCCTCTCTCGAGTACGTGTTTCTCTCCGGAGAAAGAAACTAATAAGAAAAAATTAGCTTATTATCTCGGACCTAACACCTAAATTTCCATTACAATGGCTTCATATATCAACAGGGCAACAAAACAAACCTCCTAAGTGTAGCTTTTTCTTTAAGCCAGTGTAAATATCCATCAAGATAATTAACGGAAACATTAAAAAAAATTACGCCTCATCCCCGTACGTTCCCAATACGAAAATTTCCGAATAGCATTAAAGTACTGTACATCGATACGTTAAGGTTTAAATAAAAATTCAATATAAAAGCAGCAATGGGACTAGATTAAAGAGGATAATTATTTTATATTCATTACTCGTCCCGTTACAGAAAGATTATTTATGGAAGAATAGCGACGAAAATATTGAACAATATCATTAAAGTAATGGACGACCATAATTCAGTCAAAGCGGTAATTTGTTATCATCGGAAAAACGGATTTTCCAGGGGAGTGTTTTGTTTGAATTCGTTCCAGAATAAATTCTTGATAATAAATCTATACTTTGTTTATTTTTTATTTTAATTCGTCTTTTTTTAGATAATAAGATGAAGTAATTCGATTCGTAAATCTATTCGTGATTATCTATCTACGAATTTATTCCAGAATTAATTTTATATTTAAGATGGAGAGTGATACGTTTCCAATTTTGTTTACGTGTTAAAGTGAATATTTTGAATTATTCATTGGGAATTTTCTATTATTATTTAAAGTCGTAAACTCTGGTTAATAAAATGCTCTTCGAAATATTCTAGAATATTATATTAAGTGGTGTAAATATGAATTGCGTCAGTCATATCGGAAAAATGTGTCGAATAAAGACATAAATAACACTCAGTTTAATATAATATAATGTCGAAATAGATGCGCTTATATAGTGTAGCCACTGCAGTGACAAGTAAACGTAACGTTTATAATGTCGAGTTACTGCATAGAGTAACTAGTAACATATCGAGAAAATGTATCTATGACGTAAGTGATTGTTACGCCAGTGATTGTTACGTAATAGTGTCAAGTAGATTATATATATTCTAGTAAATGCTACGTAAAATTTAATGCCGGTTAGCGTAGTGACTAATAAATGTTACGTAGATAATGCCGAGTAAATATTTTATTTATTCTTCTGAAGTGAAGAAAAAGAGAGAATTTTATTTAAATGGAGGTATATAATGTTAAAATTGTGTTAAAATCCTTAAATCTTACCGGCGATTTTCCTCAGTGGCCTGTAAGATTTAAGTGATTATAGTATTATGAGAATGTTACATATGTGATATCGAGTAAAGGAAATGTCGAGTGAGTGATGTGTATATAGTGTGGAATTTTGCTTGTGTAGTTGAACTGAACACGTTATCAGTTGAATGTTATGAATATTTGTAGTAAGTGAATGTTGCTTATTTGATGTCAAACAGACCTAGTGTCAAATGAATACCGTTTGAAATGTTATAGATGCACTGACAAGGAAACTTTATATCAAACCGATAATCTAATATTAAGGAACGTGGACGTGTTTAAAGAGAAATTATACTTTTAAAATGTTAAAGCATTAATATCAAGATGTAATGTAAGAATTTATCTAGAAGAAGAGAAAGAAAAATACGACATTATTTACGACATTCGCCCAACTTATCTAATGGAGATTGTATTGAAGACTTATAAGATGAAAGCGATTAATACAGAACTTAGCGATAAGAAAGGAGTTGGGAATTAAAGAATGTTGCAGACCGCATTACTACAATGGTTGATTAAGTGGGGATAATGTCGACTGTCGCGGGGATACATAATTAAATCAACTCTTTTATACACCTTATCTCCCACAAGGAATCTTTCTAGTCTCTTGTTGGTGGCCAGGTAATGGGCTTGTAAACGACCAAACAAGAAACTAGATAATTCTGATCGACCGCTGGTTCTCATTTTTATAATAAAAAAATAAAAGAATCCAAGTACGATAGCGCGTACGAATTTCATCCCTTCGCAACGAAGTTTTGAATAAGTAATTAATTCCTCTTTTATATACTTTAAATGGTAAAAAATCTGTTAAAATATGATAGGTAACATACGGGAGGATTGTTTCTAGTTTTTAAAATCATTAAGACAAAACCATTCACATATAACATTTGTAAACTGAAAAAAAGGAACCTTGATTGATACTTATCTTGGCTTAGAGCCAGCGGTACAGGAATAAAATAAAATAAAATAAAAAAGTCGATCAGACTGTTTTAAGTGTTTGCTTTTGCTTCTCTCCCTTCGGTCGTTTATTAACACGTTGGAGTAACACCAGACTAGCGACAACGTCCTGGCTACGTCACGAATTTATTTTAAGCCGTCACGCATTTGTCTCACTTTATAAAATTATTAATGGCCTCGTATAACTGCTGCGCCTTGTTTAAGTGTACGAAATCTGCAAAAATACTACGTTTATTTGTTTCAAACAACACGAAAATCTATAATAATCGTGTAAAACTTTATTCACGGGAGACAAACCAGTAAAAAAAATCACACATAGCCTATATATTTGAAGAGAATCGATGAGAATAAAAAGTATCCACAGCTACGCGGTATAAATAGCCTACTTATAACTCGTTTTACGCTGATATAAAGGGAGATAAACACTTTATCGATATTTGTATAGCTAAAGTGATGTTTGGGTTATCTTTTTTATTTTTTNCTGCATTGAAATCTTTCGTTTAAATAATTCTCTTCTTTGGAGAAAACTCCCAATCTGGAAGCTCTATCTCTACCGCTCTAGTAAAAATACTGTAGTTAAAATTAAATATATAGAACAGTCAGTCTAGTTTATAAATTTTTCAAAAGAAACTTTATTAATTCTGCAAAGAATAGAAGTTCAAAAAAAAAAAGATAAAAAAAATGGCGCGGATCGAAATCCTGAAACCTGAGAAGTTAAAATTTCTTGAGGTTCTTGCCGAAGGTTATTTGCTCACTTAAACTGTGTGATTACAGGTATGGAAGCGTTGTACAGTTACCAAAGACGAAATTAAATAAAGTCCCATCACATAGCGTGTGATTAATTGACGAAGGACCCGAGTAATACTGGGAGTAGTAATTAATGTTTCTTGTGCTGATTTATTGTAATGAGTGGTTGTCGGTGAGAAAAGAGGACATCAGATAAGAAGCAACACTTCTTAGGTAGGAGTGGTCGAAAGGTGTGAGGTCCTTAGCTTAACTACGATCTCCCAGGAAAGAAAAAAAGAGAAAAAAAAAAGTCTGTAAATTGTAAAACCTTACCTGCAGATTTCGGTGAAAACTTGTCCCTCTGTGCTGCACAGACTGCCAATAAACGATAACCCAGATCCAAATCATACCCCTGCTGCACAGCAACCTGGCTGACCACCTGAAAATATTTTAATGATTTTTTAAACGCGTATAATGTACTTTCTGTGGTATTATAGCTCACGAGACCCGTAAAACGAAATATATAAAAAAATATTATATCAGTATATATAAGCGCAAGCGAACACGTTTCGGTTCTACTTCCATCTTACTATAGACGTGTCTAGCTTTTTTTCCCTTCCTAAAACATTCATGAAATTGAGATAGGGAATAATAAAATCATACACTTTCCCTCTGCCGTGTGGGTTATAACAGTTGATGCAAGTTGAGGTAGCTCAGGATTGGTTGTCGTGACGTCATCGACATGTCACGGACTCAACATAAGAGTTTAGTGCATTTGATGTAGTACAAGTGTAAAACTACAGTTTTTAATCTCTAAGAGTTAAAGTTAGTTATAACCACTATAAAACGATGCAATTTAAGTAAAACTGAATTTATATTTCTTCATAATTTGTGTTGTAAAAGTTAGCTGGAGTTTATACTTCCTCTAAATGATACATCCCTAGAAGCTTATGATATACACGCCGTGGATGATAAATAGGCTTCCATTATAAGCTACTTCTATTAGAGAATTAATAAGAATCGTAGTATTAAATCGTATCTGATAACGATATGTTCGTGCAACTACAGAAATTCTTGTATGCAACGTTGTTAACTTGCGTGCGATCTCCCTCGACATGCTCCTAAATGTATTATTGTTATTGCTACCCTACAATTTCCCGAAATAGGTATAAGCAACGTGTGACATTGTTAATTGCTATTTTAATGAACCCTTCTATGCATTGATTTAATGTTACTGTGATATGCCACTAATCACGATGGCGTTAACTACAATATCATTGTCGTCGTCCAAATAGCTGGCAGGTATAATTCTAATTGCATTATTTTAAGTTTACCCTACATACTGTAACTGATACGATCTATTGTATAAGCATATCCTTATTAATTTTATGTCGCTAATTAATATTAGTTATGCCAATCAAATTCTCAAGCATGCTTCTGTGATATTACAGATGCTATTCTAATATTATTACTATCAGCCGACTAGTTCTCCTTAATATATAATATTGTTATCATTACCCAACCTAGATCTTAATAATTATATTGTTATTATAACCCTATTGGTTCCTGTAATGATTACTAAGTATCTGCTCTATTAATTTCCCATTTTTCTATTAAAATCTATTTATTTTAGTAATATTAGTCAACTTGAAGTTGAGAATAAGTAGAAAACAACAATAAAATCGCATAGTATGTAGACGAAAATAAAAGTAATATAAGGCTATTGTCATATAACAAGTTCTCATATATAAGCCCACTGCTAACTTTGTTATTGCTACCCTACTGTACCTCAGAATGCAGTAATTGCTACCTGCCTCTACCTGCTAACCCCCTCCAATGTACAGTACCAAATGTTGCATTTCGCCACAATCCAATATCTAATGACGACTGCCCGTTACAGTTTAATACAGGATATATGCTACTATTTGTATATAATCTATTATGCCCAGTTATCTAATTATAATTAAATATAATTACTATCAATAGTTTTTAATGTCCTTAGACATAAATAATATGCCCTTATATTCTATTTTGTTGGGAATGTTTTAATTTAGGGTCTAATAGTAGAAAGGTTAAGAGAAATTTTCTTTTTTTTATAGTCTAAGCTGCTAACTGCAATATTATATAGTTCGATAGTAGAAAATAGTAGATATATATTCTGCTAAACTTTAATATCGTTCGTGACACTATCACAAACAGTATTACAGTTAGCTGCTATATATACAGTTCGACTTAGAAATTGGAAAACTTTTGTCTATATCCATTTATTGGCTCAATGTTGGAGTTGAGAATCTAAAGTTAGGGAAAAAAACTCTTAAATGATAACTTTTTTTTCCACTGGTTTAATACGTAGCCTATAGAATTTGTAAACTGTAACCGCAAAAAATGCGAGTAAAAGACGATACAACGATTGATGCGCTTAATAAATCCGATTAAAAAGAAGTTAGCGTATACAAAAATCAGATGGAGTTTATCGGAACTGTTGAGTTATCGATAATAACTTCACTTCAAAGATTCCAATCTGTTCCGCTCGAATCGATGACAGGTCGTGATTCCAGATTCGGCCGACAGAGTGCGTGATGATAGATACCCACCTTACGTAAGGCGATCGATACAAAAGGTTATATTTAACCTTAGCCAGGAGAAATCTCTAGAGATTTTGCAATACAGAATAGTACAAAGTCATTAGTTATTGCGCAGTATCGAAATGCATCGTAGCAGTTAACAGGTTCTACACTTCTGCCTTTTCCGCTAATAGTTTTTGTATCTCGTAATAACGCCAGGAATTTGAGTCTGGCTGCGGATAAAAACGTGAGGTGAAGCATCTGCTGTACTTTCACTACATCTTCTCCGTGTTAATCTTACTTTCTTAATTTTCTTATACAGAAAATCTTCGGTATTACAAGAAGGTATACGTTCCCTCTTTTGTTTTACTGTATCAAAAGTCATCTTTAACCATGACTGGTTTCAAATATGCCGCCGCAATGCCAAGCATCTCGTTAAAGAGTCGATGATAATTTTCTCGATTAATGTCGGAATGTAATAAAGAAAATTCAATCGTAAGTTTTATATATGTTAGAATTGATACGGGGCCTCCATTTTTTGAAGTAGTATCGAAGAGGCGATATCTAAGGCAACTCACCCAGTCTAATTATGTCACAGGTGACTACCTCCAACATCCTGTCGGGAGAGTTGCGTGCCTCGGATCGCAGCCTTAGGCCTGAGATGACCCTGGCTGAACCTTGGCAAGGGAGACAGGTTAACTCGAGTCTGGTTGGTCGGACCAGCGGAAGTTTTTTTTTTTTCTTCTTCTTGTTCTTAAGAGCGGTCACCCCCACACAAACCTCTCTGCCTTGCAATGGAATAAGGGGGGAATTCAAGGTCGTTTTGTTGTATGTAGTCTCAAATTGTCGCTTGTTCAAAGATTTTTCCTTTTTATTGTGATCATTTTAATAATTTATTACATAAACCTTGACCTCGGTAGGTTAATTTCGGAAGCTACAAATAAGTTAACATATAAAAGTAGACATTTATATTTTTATGCTTTCAAAAAATATTCGAGAATTGCCAAAAAAAATAGTTTGGTTTCTTCTCGATAGGTGGCGGAGCATCTCCTCCGTCTTATCCTTTATTGAATTTTGCTTATATTACGCTTTTATAAATAAAATAAAACAAAAATATAAAAAGAGAAAATCGATGTTGTAGTAGCAGAAATTGTTAACTGTCTTATGTTAACAGATAAGAAAGGAAGAAACGCGAAGGTATTCGAATAGACAAGCAAAGATCCACCGAATCGATGTTGGATCAATGTCTTTTCGCAGCGGGTCAACGTTATTGTTCTTTTTTTCCCCCTTTCTTCTTTCCTCTTCCTCTATTCCGAATAAACAAACAAAGTTTTCGATACAAAAGCAATACCAGAACTTTCTTCTATTTAATTTTTATAAACTTACCGTCAAACAACCGATAAGATTTTGTTCGAAGACCTTCTGGAATGCTCTGCTATCACTACACCATTCGAGAAGTTCTCTCGCTGCATTTTGGAATCCGGTCGGTGTACTCAAAGCCTGCAAAGATAATATACATTATTTTTAACATTAAAAACAAATCTGCTAAATCTGTAATATATATAAAAAAGAAATGAATAAATAAGAAGGAAATCTTTGAGGAGAGAAAGAGTCCATTCCGAAGAGCAGTTTGTTCTTAGCTCTTAAAATATACATGAAAAATCCTCCGAAAGTTTCAATTGGATGCCACTTGGCATTTTGGCCTTTTTAAATATTTACCCACAACATTACGCATGATCAAAAAATATTTGTTTCTTTCTAACTTGATTTTTATAAATTATACAAAGAAACAACACCAGTTTTCCTATTTATATTTATTTAGTCCTTTTTTTTATCTTCCTTTCTCATTTTCTTCTTTTTTTTCTTTAATTTAAGAAAAAATACTAGTTCCTAAATTAAGATTTCTATCGGCTGATAAAATAAATCTTCACTTTTTTCCTTCTTAATATTTATTTAATTAAATTGCTATATTTTCTTCAACTTAAGAAGAAGATAATTAACCAGTCTCTAACGAAATTAACAATAAATAATCTTAGTATGTTTATCAGTAATTATCCGATATCAAGAGATATCAGACTAGTACCATCTCGAGTTTATAGAAAAAATGGGAGAAAGACTGGTGACATCTCGACGACAAGCGGTCTCTAAGGCGGAAAATGAGAAAAGTAAACGTAATCGATGCAGATGTTGGACACAGATGGCTCTGATTGCAACACAGACAGATAAATCAATGTAATTCGTACCATGTCTGATGATTCCAACGTATCATGCTCAGAATTGGATTCACTTATCACCTCTGATTAGTATCATTTGATGCTATTTGTTTAAAAATTATTAAGTATGCTGAGACACTCGGATCAGTCTCGCTGCCAATAACCATGCTCCGCGGCAATGTCGAAGCGATGTTTCAAATCGCTATAATATATCGATAAAGTGTCTTACACGGTTTGGAATCTTGTTAAAATTGATATTATTTAATTATTATATTCTCCCCTATTTAATTTCGGATGTATCGAGATCATCTCCTATTTAATCACAACATTTCTATTTAGCCGGACGTCAACAAGTAGGAGACAGACACTTAAGGGATTTCCTTACATTGATGTCAGATGGAAACGAAGTTCCTTTGAGACCCAGATCTGCTCTTTGTGCTTCACTGCCATCTACTTCTATCTGTCATTATATTGAATAGAATCCGAAAATACTTTCCTTCCATTTAATATATTGTCATAACTTCGATTCCGTTTTAATAACATAGAAAAAAGATGGTTGGAGAAATAAAATTCATATCTTTGGATTTATCACGCCTTTTGTAACATCCCTGACAATCTAGATGATTAAACGAGTTTTTGAACTTCTTTAATTTTACATTCGAGTTTATTTTATTTTATTATATTTCCCACTAAAACGACAAATGCGATAAGAAAAGAGAGAAATGTTGCGACATTTCGTCACTTGCTCCAATAGAGTCAGTAAAGGCAAAGAGCAGCAACAGATCAGCCACGAGTTTTCGCACACACACACACATATACACATACGACTCATCCCGAAAGATCGATAGAAGCCAGGAGAGGATGAGTGCGAGGGGAAGGAAGCGCTGATGACCTGGCGCTAGTTCTGGATCCGAAAGAGGCTGCATCAGTTCCTCTGGACAGCAGCTCTCAGAGAGTGCGTCTCTCCATCTTAATAACCATTTGTCTCCTATCCCGTTGCTAGGATACGGATTTTTTTCTCAACATTTCCTCCTACTCTTCCCACTCATCTCTCTTTCTTGGGCGAGTGGCTGTAAATCATGATGGGACAACTGGCGAGGTTAATACACAAAAGTTGAATACGTTAAAAGAGATAAATCTAGTAGCGGTATAGTGAAAAATTTCAGTTTTGTTTTAAACACTTTTACGAGTGCGGCATGGTTAATAGGGATAAAATAATAAATTTAAGTAGTACGGTCAGTCACGTGTGATAATGAATTTTGAAAAGGGCTTATACATTAAGGATAATATAGGAGAATAATGTGATGATGTTATAAATTAGTTTGTCCATAAAATAGGGAAATTTATCGCGCGGAGGTCAACTATATCAATGTGGGAAGAGAAGGTAATAAAAGTGGATTTATTCTTGCTAAAGTGAATGAGAATGAATACTTAACTGTAAAATAACAATAAAAAAATTACGTATTAAAAATTCGTCTAAAGTCTTGTTTATCTAATTTTGATTTTGGAAAATGTTCCGATTTAAAACATTTCGAAAATAGAATTTATGTCGAAATAAATGAGTTTTGTAATTCGAAATTTAGCGCAATTATTTCTCCATATTTTCATTTTAAATAGAAAATGTATGACTTAATAAAAAAAATATTTTTATCTTTTATAATTTCAGGCAGAAAAACTTCTGCGTATATTTTTTTTTCCTTTTCTTTAAAATGATGAATTGTAAATTATTCCGGTTTTACTTGAATACCACAATTATTATATATCCGTACTGTGTGTGTGCACCTGTTTAAATAATGCGGCTTTTCATTTCTAATCCGTTTAATAAAATGTCACAATTTTTTTTTTAAAAAAGTATGTTTGGATTTTCTAGCACAAGATGGCGTTTGTTTAAAAATAAGTTTTTTTTTACCTTTTCTAAAAAATTCTGACATAAAAATTATATAAAGTAAGCGGTAGTTTATATTTAATTTCTATAGATTTGTCACTAGTGTCACCGAAAGAAGGACACGTAAGACTCCTCGTCACACCCCCTAATAACAAACCACACGTCCCCATTATGCCACTCCCCTTTCACTTACCTCTTTAATACATTGCAATCTTTCGTTTGTCTGCTGGACGTGTCTTTCCATAGCAGTTGCCATGCCTGTCATTTTTTCCATTAGTTCTTACTCCTTCTATAAATCATGATTTCTAAAATAAAAAATTAAAAAAATATAATCACGAATTTAAAATACATCATAATTATTTAAATAATAATAATAAAAATTAAAATAATAAATTCAACTTAGTAAAGAGACGAGAATATATAGTGTCGCCATCTGTCGGGAAAGTTTTAGTAATTGAAAGAAAAACAAGGTAAGTTAAATTGATATTTTAAGTTAATATTAGGAAGTGATGTTTGCTCATTTCGTTCGCTATCTTGATTACATTTATATCTGAAAATAAATAACGGTAATGCTCACCAGCAATCTATAATAATAGTGGTTAGAATATCTGCAAAACCGTAATCATCTAAAAGAGAAGTAGAGCATGACCGCTCAACTAAACACATTACTTTTATAAGTAATGGACTAGCGCGGAAACCATTTTCAAATTTATATTTTTCGAATACTTAAACGATCCTAGTTTCGTTTGCATAAATATTATCTATCGAAATGATTTAGTTTCTCAAATTTTTATATGTTTACACCGCCGATAATTATACCGTTCCACAGCATCCTCCATCAATTAAACATTCACAAATTCTTCGAAGATAACTTCGTTTGTTACTACGTTACGAGTTTAATTATAAATGAAATCTGTAAAATAATTAATTCGTTATTTACGCTACTTAATTTCTAATGTGGATTTTTAAGCGTGTAAAATTTAAGTTTTAGTGGTTTTTTTTTTAAATGTGTCACGTTATTTAAAAAGATACGGTTATGGTAATGGATATGTGGAAGCTCGATAATAGGAAGAAAAGTAGATTAAATTATTAAATTTTATAAAAATATTACGGGTTGGAATAAAAAGAATGGGGGGAAAAACATCCTGCTCATTCATTACAGGATGATAAATTGCCTAACACGAGTGACAACTAGCAAATATTAAATTACAAGATAAAAAGAAACTTAAGGTAACGTAACAACGTATTATAAATATCAGTTTTTTTTTTTTTTTGTTTTTTTTTTAAGTTAGGAAATATTAAACATTTCGAAAAGCGGTTTATAACTAACCACTTAGAAGAATAATGGAGACAGTAGTTTTAAAGAAGAAAATTTCTTCATGCCAGACGTCTATTTTGACAAACCGTGTAGTAGAAGTGACAGAAGATCAAGTTGTAAATAGCACGACATAGATTTGTGACACAAGCACATTGGGACCACGACAACATTGACGGCGGAGACCGAAAGACGAGAAGTCGAACGTCATCCCTTTTAAAAGAAGAAGGGGAAAGAAAAAAAGGTGGAGTGAAAATGATTTAGTAGTAAAGTCATCAACCGATGCGAGAAAACATTCCATACAAGCCGAATTTCACAACAAATTCGATCCTTTATCCGCACGCATGCTTAAAATAAAGAAACAAGGAGAGGAAAAGAAAAAAAAAAAGAGTAAAGCTGTACCACATCCAGACACGTGACACCCGATTATCAAAATTTATTTTTCTAGGAATATAAAAATCGTGTTAACCTTATACAGTTTCCTAGAAATGCTCGGCTGATAAGAAAATTCATTTTTTGTAATATGCCAATAAATATATTCCCGTGTACTTAAAACACTCTCTACTTATTACTTTTTTTTTTCCTTTTTTGCAGCAGTAGAACCCCAAATTTTTATATGGCCTCTCTCGAGTACGTGTTTCTCTCCGGAGAAAGAAACTAATAAGAAAAAATTAGCTTATTATCTCGGACCTAACACCTAAATTTCCATTACAATGGCTTCATATATCAACAGGGCAACAAAACAAACCTCCTAAGTGTAGCTTTTTCTTTAAGCCAGTGTAAATATCCATCAAGATAATTAACGGAAACATTAAAAAAAATTACGCCTCATCCCCGTACGTTCCCAATACGAAAATTTCCGAATAGCATTAAAGTACTGTACATCGATACGTTAAGGTTTAAATAAAAATTCAATATAAAAGCAGCAATGGGACTAGATTAAAGAGGATAATTATTTTATATTCATTACTCGTCCCGTTACAGAAAGATTATTTATGGAAGAATAGCGACGAAAATATTGAACAATATCATTAAAGTAATGGACGACCATAATTCAGTCAAAGCGGTAATTTGTTATCATCGGAAAAACGGATTTTCCAGGGGAGTGTTTTGTTTGAATTCGTTCCAGAATAAATTCTTGATAATAAATCTATACTTTGTTTATTTTTTATTTTAATTCGTCTTTTTTTAGATAATAAGATGAAGTAATTCGATTCGTAAATCTATTCGTGATTATCTATCTACGAATTTATTCCAGAATTAATTTTATATTTAAGATGGAGAGTGATACGTTTCCAATTTTGTTTACGTGTTAAAGTGAATATTTTGAATTATTCATTGGGAATTTTCTATTATTATTTAAAGTCGTAAACTCTGGTTAATAAAATGCTCTTCGAAATATTCTAGAATATTATATTAAGTGGTGTAAATATGAATTGCGTCAGTCATATCGGAAAAATGTGTCGAATAAAGACATAAATAACACTCAGTTTAATATAATATAATGTCGAAATAGATGCGCTTATATAGTGTAGCCACTGCAGTGACAAGTAAACGTAACGTTTATAATGTCGAGTTACTGCATAGAGTAACTAGTAACATATCGAGAAAATGTATCTATGACGTAAGTGATTGTTACGCCAGTGATTGTTACGTAATAGTGTCAAGTAGATTATATATATTCTAGTAAATGCTACGTAAAATTTAATGCCGGTTAGCGTAGTGACTAATAAATGTTACGTAGATAATGCCGAGTAAATATTTTATTTATTCTTCTGAAGTGAAGAAAAAGAGAGAATTTTATTTAAATGGAGGTATATAATGTTAAAATTGTGTTAAAATCCTTAAATCTTACCGGCGATTTTCCTCAGTGGCCTGTAAGATTTAAGTGATTATAGTATTATGAGAATGTTACATATGTGATATCGAGTAAAGGAAATGTCGAGTGAGTGATGTGTATATAGTGTGGAATTTTGCTTGTGTAGTTGAACTGAACACGTTATCAGTTGAATGTTATGAATATTTGTAGTAAGTGAATGTTGCTTATTTGATGTCAAACAGACCTAGTGTCAAATGAATACCGTTTGAAATGTTATAGATGCACTGACAAGGAAACTTTATATCAAACCGATAATCTAATATTAAGGAACGTGGACGTGTTTAAAGAGAAATTATACTTTTAAAATGTTAAAGCATTAATATCAAGATGTAATGTAAGAATTTATCTAGAAGAAGAGAAAGAAAAATACGACATTATTTACGACATTCGCCCAACTTATCTAATGGAGATTGTATTGAAGACTTATAAGATGAAAGCGATTAATACAGAACTTAGCGATAAGAAAGGAGTTGGGAATTAAAGAATGTTGCAGACCGCATTACTACAATGGTTGATTAAGTGGGGATAATGTCGACTGTCGCGGGGATACATAATTAAATCAACTCTTTTATACACCTTATCTCCCACAAGGAATCTTTCTAGTCTCTTGTTGGTGGCCAGGTAATGGGCTTGTAAACGACCAAACAAGAAACTAGATAATTCTGATCGACCGCTGGTTCTCATTTTTATAATAAAAAAATAAAAGAATCCAAGTACGATAGCGCGTACGAATTTCATCCCTTCGCAACGAAGTTTTGAATAAGTAATTAATTCCTCTTTTATATACTTTAAATGGTAAAAAATCTGTTAAAATATGATAGGTAACATACGGGAGGATTGTTTCTAGTTTTTAAAATCATTAAGACAAAACCATTCACATATAACATTTGTAAACTGAAAAAAAGGAACCTTGATTGATACTTATCTTGGCTTAGAGCCAGCGGTACAGGAATAAAATAAAATAAAATAAAAAAGTCGATCAGACTGTTTTAAGTGTTTGCTTTTGCTTCTCTCCCTTCGGTCGTTTATTAACACGTTGGAGTAACACCAGACTAGCGACAACGTCCTGGCTACGTCACGAATTTATTTTAAGCCGTCACGCATTTGTCTCACTTTATAAAATTATTAATGGCCTCGTATAACTGCTGCGCCTTGTTTAAGTGTACGAAATCTGCAAAAATACTACGTTTATTTGTTTCAAACAACACGAAAATCTATAATAATCGTGTAAAACTTTATTCACGGGAGACAAACCAGTAAAAAAAATCACACATAGCCTATATATTTGAAGAGAATCGATGAGAATAAAAAGTATCCACAGCTACGCGGTATAAATAGCCTACTTATAACTCGTTTTACGCTGATATAAAGGGAGATAAACACTTTATCGATATTTGTATAGCTAAAGTGATGTTTGGGTTATCTTTTTTATTTTTTATTTTTTTACGGCGGGAAATAATTTGTTTTTAGACAAAAATATAAACTAAAAATAAAAAAAAAGAAGAAAAAGGATTCTATTTTTGAAACGGATAAAGTGAAACTACAATGGCTACGACGTCAAATCAAGATGGCTGCTGGTGACCCGGAAGTGATCGAAAGTAATTAGCAATGGGGAAGAAGAGTCTTTGCTCTGTATTGATGAGATGAGGAAGCCGGACACGATTTAATTACTTTATGATTTGGACCCCATCGCTACGCTAATTAAAGAGATTTTAGCTGTTTTGAAATTATGAGAAGGAAAAATCCTACAGGTGTTGATTAAACTCGGAGTCGATTGCTTTTTTAATATTCTTTTTCTTTGAGAAATGGCGACAAAATTAAATCTTCAGACAATGAACAACAAACTATTAAAAGAAGCCTATTCTTCCGGTTTGTTTTTTTAAAAAATTATTTTACTTTTTTTTTCCATTAAATCTTCTACTCAATTCCCCCCTCGTAGTTTAAATTGAAAGAAAGCTTCTGTTAAGTGACTTTTTTCACTTTTAGATTTAGTGTAAACTTATTTGAGAAGAATTACTCCCTTTCTTTTTGTCATTAAAAATTTTCTAGTGAAGATAATTTTTTAAAAATGAAAGAAAAATATTTATTTATTTATTTTTCTGAATAGTTTTTTATTTTTATAGAAACTACTCTTAATAT